TAAAAAAAAAAAAAATTGTCGTTAGAACTAAATACAGGCCTTTATATATATCGTGTGATCTGATAATATGTGTCGTCGATTTATGATACCGAAAGTTATATCTTGAGTAACATAAGACACTAGTAGCACTTCTAATTAGTAAATTGTTTTGAATTTTGGTGCCAAATAGTCAACTAATAACATATGGAAGTTAAAATTATTGACATGTACTTTTTAAATAAAAAATGCATACTTATATTGATCAATATCATAATTTTGTCGATATTATGTTTTAAAATCTGTTGGTTGTGTAAAAAAATACGCATATCTACTAAAAAAAAGTATAATTACCTAGTCGTTAGGTCTGCCTAACAATAATCTTAATTACCGTTCTTGATTAACATCGATCCATCTCTTAGCACATCAAGATATATAATTGATGTGAAAAATACTTTATTTATTTATTTATTTGGGTAAAACTATGTCTATGACATGGTCCCATATGAAGAATTGAAGACACTATTACTATTATAGAGTGAATTTTTCATCTATGGCTCTTTGAAAAGGGATTTAATGCATGAAGCTTCTATCACGCAGAAAATGGCATATAGCAAACTTGGGCTCTTTAATGTGCTTCTTGTAGCATCTTTTTCTGGTCTCTGCTGTTCAACTTGCAATCAATTTATTTAATTAAAATTAAAAGTGTCACGCAATCAATTTCGATAAATTAATTCGAATTGTTTATAATGTCAATTTATTTTTGAAGAATTTTGAATCTTCAATTAAATTTACTAATAGTATATATCATATTATATAGTATTTGATTATTTCATTATTTAATTTCAATTAAATTTCGGAACCTGCGAATAAATGATATAAACAAAAAGTTATTTATCATATATATCGAAATTAATTATTTTTTTTTTTTTTTTGTATAAAACAATTTTTTTCTCAACCTTTTAAATGATCTTAAAGAGTTTCTGCATAAACAAAACAAAACAACAATGATAATTTAATTTATTATTAGTCTGAGTATATCTATGATAAAATATAATTTTATGAGCAAAAAAAATGATTGTAAATTGACCAATCATTGAGAGTGTTACTTGGGATATATGCCTTTGTTACATTGTGATATTATTATATTGAGAATTGATACAGACAATTAATGTACGATATATATGCTGATATATATATATATATATATATATATTAATATATATTATATATATATATATGAGATTGGAAAAGGGAGTAAAAACTCAATTATTTGGATCACGCGAGGGGTGTGCAGTATACCAAGTGGATCAGTTTCAGATACGTGGAGGCCCACAAACAAAGCCCATATAGATGTTGGGCCCATGCGGATCCTCGTACATTTAATTCAAAATTTGGAAAATGTAAATAGAAATTAGTATACTTTTTTTTTTTTCTCAATAAAAGGAGGTCGGAGCCTAGAATCCTCTAGATCGTAGTTGCTCGTGTATAAACGACGCCGACGACGTCTTGCAGTAGCCACGGTTCAAAGTTTGGAAAATATAAATATAAATTATTATACTTTTATTTCACATGTCTATTTCTTGATTTTTTTTTTTTTTTGGTGTAGGTTTTTTATCAACCCGTATACTAATTATTTTTTATATTTGTTTTTTATACTTCTTAATTATATTTAAACAATACGTAGTTTATATATATTGAACATATATAATGTATGTTTATAATTCCATATGTTTGTTAATAATACCTAGTAAGCAATAAGCATACCTTAGTAAAAATATATTCTATAAACCCTACATATACTTGCTTTATTACTTGATTATTGTAAAATAATTACTTATATTTTTCACATATATAATGTTTATATAGAGTTGTACTCCATATCTAGTATATATACATATATCATTAAACGATATATTTTCATTAATGTTTTACAAATACTAATTATAAGTTATATGATGTATATAAAATTAAAATTGTAAATTTGATAATGGTATATAAATTATATGCAGAAATATAAATAAAATCTTATAAGTTATATGAATGTATACAATATTAAAATTATAAATTAGACAATGGCATATAGTTATATGCACGGGTGTAAATAAAATATTATAAGTTATATGCATGTATATAGTATTAAATTTATAAATTAAATAATGATAAAGCATTTTAAAATTTTGATCGTTGGGAAATATGAATACTATAAATATGTTTAGCAACATATATGAATTATTATATCAATTACATAAATGTAAAGATAATAATTTAATTTTGTAATTTTTGTGGTATTATTACTAAACAGTTAGCTGAAAATAGTAAAATTAAAATTGTAATTATTTATGTAATTATAAGAGGTGTGACTATGCCATTAAAACTAATTAGCTTATTTTTATTTTTAAAATCGCTTAATGAAGTACCAAAACAAAAATATTTATTTAGAATATAGCTTGAAGATGAATGCTCTCCTACCCACGGTGGGCACATGTTAATATGTCCACCGCTTATGTGTCATGCACACATTGGTGATGTATTTTTTTGAACATATTAACATCACCAATGTGTGCATGCCACGTAAGCGGTGGGCATATTAATATGTGTCCACCGTAGGTAGGGGAGCATTATTTATAGCTTGAATTAAAAGTTTTACAATATGATTTTTATATTTATGTAACTCTCATGTATCATTTAGTATGAATTATGATTAATTAGTTTTAATAGTAACTATTACATATAGAACAGTTAAAATTTATAATTATTACTTAATTAACATAAAATATAACGGTTTGTTACCATACCACAAAAATGAGAGGAGAAAATAAAAAAAGTTTGTCATTAATTATTTACCTACAAATATGTATATATAACTATATATAGATATATAAAAACTAATCAAACAAATTTATTTCATAAGTAATAATGATTAGAATATTAATGGTTTCCCAATTTTACTTAGGCATTAAACTATACTTATGAGCAATGCTTGAGTTTTTAAAGTATCTAAAAATGTCACTAGCCCACAAATTCCAGTTAATTAATATTGGTTTCCAAATATGCATCTCTTTATTGTTTTTTTCAGTTTTGGTATCTCTAATTTGACAAGTGGCATAATTAATGACTCAAGAATTTATTATTATTATTATTTATTTTTTTTTTGGTACAATGACCTTCCAGTTTTTGGATCTATAGGGGAACCGACTAATCCAGAATCGAGCATTATTATTATTATTTTAACAAGTCTAGATAACATAACTAATTCTCACATTGCAAAAGACAAATAAAATTGAAAGACAACATAGGTATGTACCTATAAAAAGTACTGACCAGCAAAGAACAGCCAAAATATTTTTCCTTTGTGAGAGAAAAATCTGTAAGTAGACATAAATTGAGGGACCAAAAAGAAAAAGTAAAACAATTTGGAGGGAAGAAAAGCCAATATATATTATTTTTCTGTGTCCCTCACAGCTTTACAGCTGTGTGTAAGAGAAAAAGGTAAAAAAATCCATCAAGGGTTTTTACTTTCCACCATAAATTCATGTGCTTTACTGATGATACAATATGTGGAAAAATCAGTTTACTACCCCAAAAATCCCATATTTTCTATATTGGTACTCAAAATTCTAACTTTAATCAATTTTGATCACTAGAATTTTTAAAATGAATTGCTTTTGATCCACACGTT